CAATCCCTCGGAGCTCACTCGATTTCCCCTTTCAAGGGATGCTCCACTAAAACTTGTTCATCAAGGCCCTCTGGCCCCATACTCATTCACCTCTGATCTCAGTCTAGACAATCCCCACGGAATAACCGGTAAAAACCAGAAATACTAACCGCCACATGTCATGGCACTCAAACCGCGTGGCCACCTCTTGATCTGCTATGAATCATGGTACCTGCACCATGTTATCTCCTCTTAATCTCCTACGAATCCTGGTACTCGAACCATGTTCCCTCTTCTCATTCCACCTCACATCATGGCACTCGAACCATGACATCACCTATCGACCTGCTACAACTCATGGTACTCGATCCATGTCGTCGCTTCTCAATCTGTTACTTATCATGGTACTCGAACCATGTCATCACTTCTCAATCCGCTACTTATCATGGTACTCGAACCATGACATCACTTCTTAATCCGCTACTTATCATGGTACTCGAACCATGACATCACTTCTCAATCCGCTACTTATCATGGTACTCGAACCATGACATCACTTCTCAATCCGCTACTTATCATGGTACTCGAACCATGACATCACTTCTCAATCTGCTACTTATCATGGTACTCGAACCATGACATCACTTCTCAATCCGCTACTTATCATAGTACTCGAAACATGACATCACTTCTCAATCCGCTACTTAAAATCCTCCGGATTAGCCTTCCGGATCGCCGCGGCCATCTCGTCATAAATCATACGGCGAATCTCATCATCGCTAACACCGCTGCTCTCCGGTGTGTGGTGTACCAACCATGATGTCTCTGAAACACAACACAAAGATACCGGAGACTCGATCGAGTATACTCGCACTCGATCACCCAAACCTACTTGTTTCCTTGGTACCCTAAGGATTCTTACTTGGACTGCTCGATGATCCGATGTCTTCAGTAGTGCGGGCCCTATACTACCGTCCACACCGCATCAGTATTCACCCCAAGTCCTCCTCCTAGGACCCCAGATCACAAGTACCCTACATCTCGTTGGCATAGGCTACCCTTCGGTAGACCTCTCATAATCTCCTCACTGCTACCTACTCACTCTCAAGCATCACATAGCAGCAGAAATCTTCCTAGGCTAAGGCATCACAAATCAGGCCACTCTAGTCCTAATATGAATACCTAGCCTACTCTACCATGCATATCATAACATATCTCATAGCACATAATGTAAGAGTATTTTGGGAAATCACCGTTCGGGCGCTGGCTGATCGTACACACTACTCCTTCCTGCTTTTCTCAAAATCTTTTACTCATTTAGAAAAATTGTTCCTTTTTATGAAAAACTTTCTAAAATCCTCAGTTTGAGTTCAGATACGCCCGAAGGTGCATCCGAATCCCTCAAACCAAGGCTCTGATACCAACTTGTAACAACGTAAATTTCCAAAACAATTTTTCATTTTTAAAACATACTTTTATTCATAAGGTAATATCAAAACATATTGTATCCAATGTTATCATAACAAGACATATCCCAGAATCTCAAGACATAAACTCCATGAGTGTGTACGGATCATGCCGGCGCCTTCCCGCGATCCTCGCTAGTACGTGAAACACATAACACAACAACTGTAAGCATAAATGCTTAGTGAGTTCCCCAAAATACCAATACGCACATACGCCACTCAAGGCTATAAGACCTTCCGGTCTCTGTGTCTCAGAGGACTTCCGTCCCACAACCCTGGTAGACCTTCCGGCCCTACCCGTAATGACCTTCCGGTCCATATCATCCTGACCTTCCGGTCCATATCATCCCGACCTTCCGGTCCACATCATGATGACCTTCCGGTCCTTATCATTCATAACATACATAGCACATACATATCACATAACAGCATACAACACATACATCTCATTGCATATAAGACCTTCCGGTCACACATAGGTACCACTCTAGGTACAGTATAGTGAGAAGACTCACCTCGTACGATGTCGGATAACCTCTCGTGCTCGATAACCCGTCCTAGCCTCCTCCTATTAACATAATAACATTCTTGATCAATACCCTCTCATAGGCTCATCTCTAAAGATTTGGGTAGAAGGCCATTCTACCCCTCCCCGAACTCTCCTGAATCAGCTTGACCAAACCCTAAGGTCAACTGAAGTCAATGGTCAAACTTTGACCCGACTCGTCGAGTGCACGTGGGTACTCAGCGAGTCCATGCGGGTCCTCTGAATCCTTCTAGCCTCACCTGGCACGTCGAGTCATCCCTTCACTCGACGGGTTACACCTGTCACGAATCGTGGGGCAACCCCGACTCGACTCGTCGAGTCCCCTTATGGACTCGGCGAGTTCCTTCCATGGCAACACTCAAACGACCTTCTGAGGTCAGATCTGCTTCACCAACTAGTAGATCTAACCTTCTAGCATTCAAAAGTCACGTAAAGGTTCGAACTTTAGGCCCATGCATCACACTATCATCTCTAAATGCCAAAATAACCCTTAATATAATGACCTAGGCCCCAAAACTCATAAAGGATTGCATAAAGCTGAAGAATAGGGACTCTCTGGACCTTTCAAGGTCCAGATCTGATAATATTGTCACAAGGGGACATCACACACACTAGATCTCTTACCAAAGTGAAGAGATGAAACCCTAGATTCATGAAATCTATTACTCAAATGAAGATAGACATGACTCCTTACCTCCCACAGCAGCTCTGAACGAAATGATGGAAGATTTGAGTCCCACAAGTCAGCCCAGCTCGAAATCCTTCCTTCCCTTTGCTAAACACACCCAAGAATGATGAATTAGCCATCCTTTTGCACTACAAGCTTTCTCTCTGCTCTCTAGGGTTTCTCAGGGGTGCAGTGGCCGCAAGTGAAGGCCATAAAGGCCTTTAAATAGGGCACATACCTCAAGATTTAGGGTTTCTGTCCATAGCGCGGACTCGTCGAGTCCACCCATCGACTCGTCGAGTCCCTTCATTAATCCAGTCAGCAAATCGCGATCCTACTCGACGAGTCTAGGTGTCAACTCGTCGAGTCCCTCCTCATAATTCAAAAAGAAATACTCAAATTGTCATGCCTGGAAATCCGGATGTTACAGGTGCACCCCGTGTACTCCGCAAACAACTAATTCAACCCATTAAGCACTTAATCAGTTAAGCCATCATGCCAAACTCTCAGATCTGGTCCTAAGTGGTTGCTTAACACGTAAAGTTGGCAACTTTACTCCTATGTATGTCTTAATAAGACCCGAAACTCAAAGAGAACCATAACAAGGAACCTAACACATGCATGGACCACAATATTTCATAAAGGTTGCATTTTTATGGAAATAGACCTTAAATGTGCTAAGATCTAACATCCATAGCTTCTGGAGTAGACCATAGTCTCAAATATGGCTTAAAAGACCCAAAAATGCACAAATAACACCCTAAGTTGGATCTAGCATAAAGAGCCATCAAGATGAGAGCTTTTTACCTCAAATGACTTGCTAAGATGAAGATGACTCTGTATCAACAAGCTTAAGTCACTCCCAAGGAACCTCCAAGTGTTTTTCTTCTTCTACTTCACCAAAAACACCACCAAAACTCACTGTTAAGCTCAAATCTCACAAATGACAATTAGGGTTTCGATGTCATGGTATATAGTGATGGAGGCTATTCAATAGAAGGTCAAAGGGTGTCATAAGTTGTTTAAATAGGGCACACACCCTAAAAATCAGGGTATGCCCCTGCATTACTTACGCCATGCGTACTCCCACGTATGCCCCGCGTACATGGGTGAACCCGCGATCCATCGATGAGCTAGTATGCTAACCGTACTCATAGAGTACACCCCACATACTAGCTAGGGACTTAAACGATAGAAATTTTTGCATTAAAGGTTAAAAAGGAAGCATACCAAATCTCGAATGTTACAAAATTTTGGGACGTTACAGGACGCTTATTTGGCTCTTTACCACCACCCTAATTGCACCCACCTAAAACCCCATAAATACAATATTGGTTTCTTTACTCCTAAAAAATTTGTAAGAAAAAGCAAAACTCAACATTGTTTCACTATTAGCATTAGTCATCTTCTTTGTTAAGCACCACCACATGCATTCTTGATTTTTAAATTCTCTCCTCCCCTCTCCCTCCCCCCCTCTCTCTAATTTTTCTCATCTGGCGACTAGGTTTCTACCGTCTCCAACTTCTTTGGCAAAATCATAAACCACCATAACCGTCAAGAAATCAAAATCTTCTTTATATCCTCCCTTATCTCCCTTCAACGCCCACCTAAATCATCACTGATAGAACCCTGACCCATAGAATTTAACTTGGTGACCCCATATATTGGCTGCAACTTAGAAAAATTCAACCCAGGGGGTGTGGATCTCTATCACTGAAATAGAAAAGGAAAACAGGATTGGATGTTGGGAAAAGGTCACAATAGTGATGTTGAAGAAGCTGACGAGATTTAAATTGTCTTGTTGAAGCTTTCCCATTTGATTCGACATCCTTTACTTTAAACTCATGAAAGTTTCCCATGGTAGTATAAAATTTAGAAAATGTCACTATAGCACAATCAACTATTGTTATTTACCCGATTTTGGTCACTAAACTATTTTTTTTTGCACAATATGTCATTAAACTTACAAGTTACCTGTCAGTTATGGAAAATGACACTCTAACACAATCAATTGTTGTATTTGGTCCGATTTGGTCTATAAAGTATTTTATTTAATCATTGAACTATTATAACATACCGTTTTTCGGCATGTTAATTTACGCATTTTCATTATTTCTTGAAGTTAGAAGGAAAATATATAATAATAATAATAATAATAATAATAATAATAATAAGGGTAGTGACAAAAATAAATTGGATAAATGAGCTAAAGTCAAGAATATGTTGAAGACGGGCTAAAAGGGACCAAAATAGAAACCTAACGTGGATGGGTTTGTAAGTTGCTGGGGGTATTTCTGCCAACTCGGCAAACCCTAGGGCCAACTGTAAAATCTGAATTTACCATCCATATTGATCGGGATTTGTTTGGGGGACCACGTTTTCAATCAAGGGGAAGACTTAAACCCTAGCACCCAAAAAAAAATTGTTGCTGCCGCTTCTTCTAATCAAAGGGAAGGAGGAGCCGCCGGTGGTTCATACCGGAGAAGAAGTAAGATCGACGGTTGAAGGGGGAGGGAGATGTGGTGATCACGTCCTTGCAAACCATTCAGGTAAAAACCAACGTCTTCTTCTTTTCTTTCTTTCTTGGCCGAGAACATCCAAATCAATCATCACCACAACCGCCGGCAGCCTCCTACTGCCGGTGTGCGTTTTCTGCCACCACAGACCACCGCAAGGTGGTTGTGGGTGTGTGTTATACATATATTTTTTATGCTTCCAGCCCTGTCCTCTGAGATGTATTTGTGTGCTGTGTGTTTGTTTGATGTTTTTCCGAGAATCACAGGGAACCATCACAGGCAGCTCCTGCTCCCGGTATCCACAACCCGTCGCCACCACCGGCCACCCATCAGGTGGCTGTGTGTGTATAATGGAGTTGATTCCAGGCCATGTCTTTTCTTTTTCTTTTAGGAATTTAAGTGTGTGTTTGTGTGTTATCTTGGAAACACCGCCCATCATCACCATCGGCAGTCTTATGCCGCCGGTGTTCCTCCCAACACCACCACAAACCACTATATTGTGTGGCTGTGGGTTATGGGGCTTCTGATCATGTAAGGATAAGTTTAAAGGCATAATGTAATTGTCCGGCTGTTACTCTAATAAGCAACGTGCTTTCCTTTTTGAGCATTTTGACCACCATTAACCACCACTGGACCTCCAGCAGATGCGTGAATGTGGTGGGCGAAATTTCCAACCTTTAGGTCTCAATGATAAGGCTTAATGGGTTAAGTTCATATGTTGAAACTATGAATTCAAGAGAATAATATTCCTTTTTTTTAAGCCTTTGCCTAACTAAGCTCCTAAACCATGGGTCTATTGATAGTTGTTAACTGGCCGACTGGATTAGAAGTTATGACTGATTCCACATCTGACTGAGTTTATGCTGTTTGATTATTTTTCTTACTGATTGTGGTGAATGATGAAAAATGACCATATTACCCTTATGTTGTCTCTTGTGCTGGATCAAGAAACAAACATACACATAAGGGGCTGATATCTAATACACACAAATATACACACATACACACCAGTATCATTCATGAATATTTTTGTTGGATGTTAGTTTTTAAACTATTTTTGTCATTATATATCACAAAATTCAGTAAATATCTTCTTCATGCTTTCATGGATTTTCACCTCAACAGGTCCATACATTTGATTCCTATGAACTAAACTTTGATTTGTTGTTGCTTCATCGTTCACTGCATTTTTACCTTCAAAACTTATCGTATATATATATATATATATATATATATATATATATATATATATATATATAATGACACATGATTTTTTGAAAACTAATATAACAAATCGGTGAAACAGATTAAAAGATATAACCAGTCTTTGAGGTCTACAAGAAGTTGTTATCCCCAAATTGATTCTAAGTAATGGCAAGTCAAGAGAACGTGAAGCATATTGAGGACTGCTCTGTTTCCAAGTAACTTCTTTTTAACTTTTTCTATTGTAGAATTGTACTTTTAATCCTTTTTCATACCCAAGTCATTCAACTTTAAAAATATCTACACAATTATAGCATTCTACTTTCAGTTTTTCTTTTTCTTATTTGGACATTATATTTTGAAAAGTAAATTACACGAATGGTCCCTATGGTTTGGGGTAGTTTGCACGTTTGGTCCCTAACTTATTTTTTTAACCCGGAAGGTCCCTATTGTTTGTTTTTGTTGCGCGCTTGGTCCTTGTCTTACCTAAAAAGACTATTTTGCCCTTTATTTTTTAATTTATTTAAATAAACACACCCCCAACCCCACTTCCACCTCACCTTACTTTACCTACCCCATCTTATTTAAATAAATTAAAAAATCAAGGGCAAAATAGTCTTTTTAGGTAAGATAGGGACCAAGCGCACAACAAAAACAAACTGTAGGGACCTTCTGAGTTAAAAAAATATGTTAGGGACCAAACGTGCAAATTACCCCAAACCATAGGGACCATTCATGTAATTTACTCTATTTTGAAAAATCTACCTACTTATAGCATTGAAAATTGCTTGTATTTGGATGACATTTTTATAATTAGGCTGATTTTTCAAAGTAGGATGCTATCTTAAACAAATCAATGGAAGTGTGTAAACCCTATAAAATTACTAAAGATATGTGTATAGATATGGATATTCTTTAAATAAAATAAACATCATCCCATCTTTGTCTAACATATTTATTTGATTTCTTAAATATTTCTAGAATTATTACTTTTAAAATATGACCATTTTCTGTAATGATAATTTTGTTAAGCAGTCATTTTTTGAAAAAGAAACAAAAAAGAACTTGTTACGAAACAAGTCGTACTTCAAAAAATTTGTTGACCAAACAAAGTTTTCATTTTGTTTTATAATATGATAAAACAATTGATGCATCTATTTGTATAATGTTAGAAAAATTGCCTTCCATATATTTATGTTTTAAACGATTAATGGTTACTAAAAGATGCCATGTTTTTGGCTTATTGTCAGAAAAAGTATTTACATTATAAAAACTGTCATCATTTATAACTATGCTTTCATAAAACTATAGTCCCAGTTAAATAAGTTTTCAGTCTTTGCTCTCTTGCAATTTTTATATCGTGTCTCATGTTAGATTCATAGTTGCTCAGGAGGCCTTGTTTATATAAAGGGTTATATATGTGCATATATGCAACAAATTTATGCATCAAAATGGTATTTTGTACAAACATCATAACATAAATTTGCAAGCAAGTGAAACGTTGTTGCATAATTTGGTAGAAGATTGAAAGTTGAAACATTATTTCGTTTTTTTTCATTATTCCTTTTATGCCTTTGTACTTGAAAAATAATCTACCCAACTCCTGTTACAAACATTGTACATTGAAAATATCTAGCACATTATCACAATATCATCCAATAAGGAGAATAATAATAATAAAAAAAGTAGATTTTCATTTTGTAATAGACAGGATAATAAAGAAATAAATGACATTTTCCATTTTGATATTTGCAGCGCATTGGGGACATGGGTGTTCTCTGTGGCAGGTGCTTTGATTGCGATACCTGTAGGAATAAAGAGGAAATCATTAGCGCCACTTGTGTTTTTTGGGACAACAGGGACGATGGTTGATATAATTATGGGAATTAGTGCCTGTGAAAGAGAACATGCTGAACGCCAACAACAACAGAATTCACTTTCTGTTTCTGTTTCTGATGATGCTATCTGACGTGTCATCAAAGTTATATTGAGTTACCTATATTTTTGTAATGATCAAAAACTATTATATCATAAATGGTAAATACATGATATGTAATAATTATCCCCCCTTTTCTAAGTTCAAGAAAAATTTGACATGATTTTATGGTTATTATCCGTTGTAGATAATTTATTCTTATCCATGATAATATTGTTTAACGTGTATGATGTAATGGTGAAACAAGAACTGGATCCATTGTGTATGTTGTAGTTGTGTACTTGTCATAAATGGTCAAAAGACGAACAAAAATGGTAACAAACTGTGAAGTATCTATCATAAATTGTAACAAAGTTCAAACTTCGGAACTTTGTATTTGTTTCTAACTATTAAAATCTGTGCAATATGTTTGTTGAGACTAAAGGTGAGGATGATGATGAAGTTGTTGACGATACTGAAACAGTAAGTTGGGCATTTAGGTCCAATTACTGTAGATGATGATGAACCTTCTATAAAACATACACCATGTGGAAATGCACCCATTGAAGCTGAAGACAATGATCAAAGTATTGAATGTCCTACGTCGAGCCTTCATTTCCATGGAAATTCCCATGATTATGAGCTCATAATCAGGCGGGTAAGATTCTGTTTCCACTTCATTTTGTTCATATAATGGCATAAAGTCTTCAATTGTGAAAGTCATCCCTTGCGTAACTTTGAATTTTTCTAATATACCCCATAATCATGTTCTTTCTTCTTCAAATTGGACATCTCTACCCACACGATTGACCCCCGTGTTTGGGTCAAGCAATCTGTAGGATTTTCGTCCCTGTTTCTATTCCTACGTGAACCATGGCCTTGCTTCGGTTATCAAGTTTCTGAAGATGGCCGCCAGTCACTAACATGTGCGCCACACAACCAAACACCCTTAAATGTTCAATGTTGGGTCTTCTGCCGGTCCACAAGTTGTCGCCTTGAGTGTCTCCGTGGTCGCCCTATTTAAAATATGTCGAAATTACAAACTGCTTCATCGTATAAAGTTTCAAGCACTTGCATGACTTTGAGTGTGCATCTCGCCATCTCCACAATTGTACGGTTCCTTCTTTCCACAACGTTGTTTTGTTGACGAGAGTACGGAGTTGTGTAATGTCGTTTAAACCAGTCTCATCACAGTAGGTGGCAAACTTTTTTGAGAGAACTCCCCCCTACGATTTGTTAGGAAAACTTTCAAATTTTCATTTGTTGCAGTTTCTATTAATGCCTTGAACATCTAGAACATCCACACTGCTTAGACTTCTGTCTTTATCATTTAAATCCACACAACTCTATTGAAATAAATAGACTAGTAACAAAAAATACATGTCCCCGATGGCATAGGTGGTGAAATTGGACCACAAAGGTCCCCATACACCAACTCGAGTCTCCTACTGCCCTGAAGTTCGTGTGTGTGTGTGTGTGTGTGTGTGAGGGGTAAGGTTTTCGTGTCTTTCTACCAACTAGTGTAACGTCCTATTTTTCAAACCATATTTTTCATTTTCAATATAAAGTATAAAATCAAACCTTGTTTTCAAAAGTAATATAAAAACTCATTTGTTCAACATTGTAAAGATATAGTTTCCAAAAGAGAGTAATAACATTAAAATGAACGGAAGTCTGTAACAAAATCATACGAAGTCGGATTTCAACGTTTTTTATATGTACGGAATCCTTGTCACATATAATATAACTTTGGTTAAGATTATTTATCCTTAATAATCTTCTATCAAAAAGTAATTTTTAATGCTTATTATATCTTAATTGATTAGCCAGAATCTGCAGGGTGTTACACAAATCTAGTTCATGTCTAGTCATTCCATCAGTTAACAACTCTAGAGCACGTCAAACCCTGGCACGAGTAATCTAGGCTCTCGGCTCTTGTTCCGATCCACCATCAACTCCTCAACTTAATATATCAAACGACGATTAACAACTCTAGTGCATGTCTAGTTATCAATAGAAGTTAACAACTCTAGTGCACGTCTAACCATAGACATGAGTATTCTAGGCTCTCGACTCTACTGTTGATCCACCATCAACTCTCAAACAAACATTTCATCATAACATATAATCAAACAAATAGAATACAATAGACTCTGCTAGCCTACCCATACAATCAACACACTACAATATTAGTACATCCTAGTCATCAACAAGACGGCGACTAACAACTCTGGTGCATGTATAGTCATCCACAATGAGTATTCTAGGCTCTCGGCTCTAGTGCCGATCCACCGTTAACTCCTCAAACATACTTTGTCAATCAATCAACAATCCACATGCAAAGAATATACCAGCCTACCAACACAATCAACATACTATAGTATTTCTATATCTTATCATACAACATAGTATAGTGAAATAACTCACCTAAACAGTTACTTGAACGACGGACATCGATCCTACTAGCAAGCAGGCAAGCAAAACACGAATTAACATATAATAATATAACTGATCAATAACCATATAAATCTAGTCACTAATATCTAGATCCTTCACTAAGTTCATTAATACTGAAATGACTATCAAATAAGGATTAGACAGTCAAGACAGTCGGAAGACAAGATCATTTTGATATATAGCCTTTCTGAAATCCAACAATATGGCCAACATTCATATCCTAGACACTACTCCCGTGTAGATCAATCAGTATAATAACTTGGATTAATGACTAATCTCATAATTGGGTTCATAACAACGACAATGGGTATACTATAGATCAAGTTATACTTAGAGGAAAGTGTAACTTACTGATTGACGAATGACTCGGAAAACAGCGAGCGTAACTTCGATGCTTAATCCTTTTCTTCTTGTTTCCTGCCATGCTCTCGTGTAGATCAATCAATATAATAACTTGGATTAATGATTAATCTCATACTCGGGTTCATAACAATGACAATGGGTATAGTATAAATCAAGTTATACTTAGGTGAAAATGTAACATACTGATTGGCGAATGACTCGGAAAATGGCGACCGTAACTTCGATGCTTAATCCTTTTCTTCTTGTCTCCTTCCAATGCTTCAATGTTTCTCTAACAACACTCAAGAACAAGAAATCAAATCACGAGGGACTGAGATCTCGAAAAGGAAAGAGATTTAAGAGGAAATGTTGCAAGAAATGAGGGAACCCAAACCCTCTATTTATAGGCTGAAAAACGATGGACGTATCGCCCCCTATAGAGGGACGCACCACGCCTTGCAGGGTGTCAGGTTGTTTCTTGCACACAACGTTGGTTGGTGGAGTCACGTACATTTAATGCTACATGCAACACCCTTCTCCACGCACTGCGTATAAGGCTAAAATTCGTCGAAAATTTGAAAAATCAGAACTTCTTCATACGATCTCTGATTTAGATGTTCTTTATATCTATGGGTTCGTATTTACATCCACTACAACTTTACTTTAGGTTACTTGGGCTAAAAAGTGTTTTTTTATATAAACAAAGGTTTATATATTTATATCTCGAAAAATGAAAACGGGGTGTTACAACTAGACAACCTTCACATAAACCTATGGGATTAGATAATCTTAGCATCCCTTGGACCATATCTTTCCCTAACATTAGTTTGAGTACAAAAAAGCTTACATATCTCATGCGTGTATACCATAACTTAGCTGGTTCGTTAATCTTCCCAAGTAAACATTTTTATCTGACATCTTCCAAAATAATTTTATACAAACAGTTGGGTGATCACTTTACCTTCATGAGGAGTCAACCTTGTACATCATGTATCAACAAGAATGAGCCAATCATAAGAATCTGATCGCCACCTTCAGCCAATTTACCTAAGATGATAATATTATATATAAACTCGGTTTGTAGTAAATCTCCTTCAGTACACAATATTCCTTATTCTTTCACTTGAACTTAGTTTAACCTTTTCCTTATATGCACAATTTTGGGCCATCACCAAGCTTTACAAAGCCTTGAATGGATTGGTTTAATTCATGAAAATTTTCCCTTTGATCAGTCATATGGTTAGTAGCACCATGATCCAAGTACTAAACATTTGTGTACCTGGGTTCATCTCCTGTTGATCTTAATTTGGGTTTACTTTTTCTTTATTCAAAAACACTTATTGCTCATTTTCGCATTCTTTAAATGCATTCAATTATAGGGTTTGTAAAATCTCAAATTTCAAAAAACAAATTCATTTGTAAAATAAGATTAAACATCTAAAACTTAAATTTTAAATACATAACAAAACATTCATTTGTTTTCAAATTGTAAACCATAATGTTAATCCATAGTTAAAACATAAAAACTAACGGAAGTCTCAAAATAACAATGTAACATCGATGTGAATGTACTGTCATGCCGCAATCCCTTTCATAACTAAATAACCTGAAAAACATTTACCTTAACAACATAAGCATAAAGCTTAGTGAGTTCCTCAATATACCACATATTCCATCTAACATAGTTGCATACAACGCATACAACCACATTCTCACGATCTCATCGTACATTCCAACTATAGGATCTTAGCCATCCAACAAACTACCGACTCTCAACCATCATACAAACGAAACTGAAGCTACAACTAATATTGATGGGTCGCCTTATGAATGCATAGTTATAAATAGTCAGAAATAAGATAGACAGTCGAAAATTTGTTCCTACCCGAAAGCAATATAGTTGAAGTTGGGACTTGTGCGACACGTCACCACCATCTATTGGATAAATCACATCTCCTAGCTTAACAATCCTTCTATTTAAGATCTTTATTCTTTAATACAGAAGCTCAAACTCTTCATAAATGGTCCAATGATGTTCTTAATGGACAAGTTTCCTACTTTATCGATATTTATGCCTTTAACAAGTCCAACACCAAAACTAGATCTAAAATGATCCAAAAAAGTTAACAACTTCTAGCATGGCTCAAATGGGAAGCTAATCATGCACTCAAAACACCACAATGTGTATCAACCAAACCCATCTTTCGACCTAAAGTTTACCAAATCCCATAGAAATCATGACAAAAGGGGACCAACAAAGCTAATAATGCAAGATCTATAATCAAGAACCATAAAAGTGAGAGCTTTATACCATATAGAGGTTTTAGAGTGATTAAGGAGGTTGTGAATTCTTGGATATATGCTCCATTTCACCAAAGAAACCTTCTTCTTCAAGC